TATATATATATATAAATGTTAATAACTTTGTTAAAAACTTTGGTTTTAAGTCTGCTGCCAATCCTCAGTCTTTTTCTGACTTCTCTGTTATAGCTGAGTTTCTCATTTCTTAAATCCCTATGTGTTTTTTTTGTTTTTGTTATTTTATTTATTTTTTTTGAGACAGAGTCTCGCTCTGTTGCCCAAACTTGAGTGCAGTGGCATGGTCTCGGCTCACTGCAACCTCCACCTCCCAGGCTCAAGCAATTCTCCTTTCCTCAACCACCTGAGTGGCTGGGATCACAGGTGCCAGCCACCACGCCTGAATAATTTTTTCTTTTTTTTTTTTTTTGAGACGAAGTCTCGCTCTGTCACCCAGGCTGGAGTGTAGTGGCCGGATCTCAGCTCACTGCAAGCTCCACTTCCCGGGTTTACACCATTCTCCTGCCTCAGCCTCCCGAGTAGCTGGGACTATAGGCGCCCGCCACCACACCTGGCTAGTTTTTTGTATTTTTTTAGTAGAGACGGGGTTTCACCGTGTTAGCCAGGATGGTCTCGATCTCCTGACCTCATGATCCACCTGTCTCGATCTCCTGACCTAATGATCCACCTGTCTCAGCCTCCCAAAGTGCTGGGATTACAGGCTTGAGCCACTGCGCCCGGCCCTAAAAGTTTTTTAAAAAGCTGACTTTATAAAAAAAGGCAAAACAAATTATCAAATGCCGTAGACATAAGATAAGCAGATATGTTAACATGTTTTAGGAAAACATTTTAAATGTTTATATGATTCTATTGATTATTTATAGCACTTAACATTTTTGTATCATGAGATAACTTTCACAGAATATAGTTCTATTAAAATGAAATTTTACTTCTTATATAGGTGATTGGGAGCACTGGAATAAGAAACTTCAGCCTTTTTATTATCCAACTGACAGTATTCCAGAATATTCATCAATTTTGGTTCCAAATGTTGACAATGTTAGAACAAATTTTTTGATAGACACCATTGCAAAACAATATAAAGTAAGTTTAATAGATAGTTCCTTAAATGATCACAAACCACCCATGGCCACGGGAATATGCACCTATATTTTCTTCCAGCACTTTTATAGTATACATTTTACATTTAAATCTGTAATACAACTGGGACTTACTTTTGATGGTAGATGTAATTCTAAAAAGTTATTAAAATTAGTTATAATAATGTATAGAAGACTAGCCTGTAGAAAAGATACTAGAAACTAAACATGTGATAATACCTTTCAACACGCTTATCCTACGATTGCAGGCTGTTTTGCTCACAGGAGAGCAGGGAACTGCAAAAACTGTCATGATTAAGGCCTATCTGAAAAAATATGATCCTGAAGTACAGCTATCCAAAAGTCTAAACTTTTCATCTGCCACAGAACCAGTGATGTTTCAGGTAAAATCCATCATTTGCTGTAATATTATAAACATAATACATTTTAAGTTAGTGGTTACAATAAAATGTGTATGCATATAAAATGTAACAATATTATATATTCAAAAGAAATGATGCTGCACTTGGCATTCAGCTCTTTAGCTTTCCTAAGGCTAAGGTTGAAGCCAAATCCAAATAGCATAATTTGATCTAATATTGAGACTGCGGCTGAACTTTGGATCGTATCTACTGTAATGTAAATGAAGGATAACACTCCAATGCCTTATTTTTAAAAATTTAACAACATGTATTTTAATAAATTATATGTATACTTAGTAAATGCATAAGTAAATTATATTCTACTCTGACAAGAGTGCTCATTAGTTTTAGAAATATGGATTAAAATCTAACACATAAGACAAACCATTTCCTTGTCTCTAGAGAACAATTGAAAGCTATGTGGATAAGCGAATGGGAAGCACATACGGGCCACCAGGAGGGAGAAAAATGACTGTATTTATTGATGATATTAATATGCCTGTGATTAATGAGTGGGGAGATCAGGTATGGCTGAAATATCTCATATAGATGATCCTGAATTTGTATTTTTATATGTGTGTGTGTGTGTGTGTGTGTGTGTGTGTGT